CCATCAGCGTTTCGAGCGTTCGTCAGCGTAAGCGACTAGGAAAGTATATATTCTACATACTTATAGGAGCGTCCACCAGCGACTACAAGCGTCCCGAGGGACAAAGTATGGACATCGATCTAGCCTCTGTCAGAGTCCAAAAGCAACCAGTAGAGGAATATGGGGAAGTAGGAGGGAGGAAGCAGCTGGATTATGCATCGCGAAATTGTGGCGTGTGCAACCGCACTTACTACTACACAATACCGTACTCCTGCTCGCTGGCGGTTGCAGATGGACGCTGGTGAACGTTGCCGTTTGCTGAACCGATATCTACACTTTTCTAGTAGCTGACGCTAACGGACTTTCAAAACGCTTATCTCCGCTAGTGGACGCTGCTGCACAGTATGAACGCAGCCTAATACGGACTTAAAGACATGTTATGCGACCAACAGTACATAAGATGTGCAGACGTCTTCCTCAGAGAAGGCAGTCCGGTTTGCGGGTTGTAGCGCTTTCGCGGTTCAAAAAGACGTGGTGAGCAAGCAGCGTTCGTAGTGACGCCCACCAGCCAATAATACAATGCCCTCATGTGCAATGGGACTCTGGTGGTACGGCTATTCCCCTACGAGCCCCTTTCCATTCTGAATAGCAACACGGAGCTGACAAAGGAGAAGAGGTGATAAAGCTACAACACCAACAAATGACAACACGTTCAAATACGCTCTCTCTTCGCCGTGTGCACGTACAAGTTCGAAACGGGAGGGACTTCCATCTGGAGCATTCCAGAAATCGTTTCTGCTTCGCTCTTCACCACGGAGTTAACTTGTCAATCGCATTTCAACCCGAACACCGCGAATTCTGACCGATGGGCGTGCCCTCAGCCAATTGGGTGTTCCCGAAGCGCTTTTATTAGCTGCAACTCTTTCACTTTCGAAGCAAAACACACTAGGATTGCATAAGAAACGAGACCATTAATAAGCACAGAGCACCGGCAATCTATCGCTCTTCTCATTATGTGACTCACTGGAGAAAATCGTGGAAAGGAATATATACGTACTGATCTAGCAAATAGGAGGACCGCCGATTTCAATTATTGTGAAGTAATAATAGTAATACTAAGATATTGTACAGTGGTTTTACGGCGCTGCCAGCAAGAGTGGTATATAGCGTAGAAGAAACAAGAAAAAGCTCACAAAAAAAATTCGCTCGCAGCGCAAAAAACTTTAATCATTGCTCTCCCCTCCCTCGTCGGCTGAAATACACTACCTTGTTGCGATTTTGCCAATGATGAGTGCCTCAAGGGGAAAAAATCTAATACCGAAAAGTACCGTCAATTCTTTTTAAGGCGGAGGTGGTGTAGTGACAAGTGGCGCGCTTACCACTCGCGCGGCGCAGGGTTCGAATCCCATGTCGACTCCCTCGGCTGGCCACCGCAAGTCATTGTATAGGCCACATCGCATTCAATAAGCCACTACGATTCTGAATGGAAGTAGAATGCGTGCCGCATCCCACAAAGGGATTGATCAACGGCGAAGACTTTATCCTTTATCCTTTTATCGTGAATTCAAGTGTGATTCTTCCTCCCCAGCGGCCGGATCACGACCTCCTCGTATTCTTCTCAGCGTGCTCTACTGTTGAGGAAGGAGCGCACATGTATGACTGGCGAGTGCTCAATCTGTCGATTGCGGTGGCGATCAATACGCCGACGCAAGAAGGGCGCCAAAGACATTTTGGCGGGCTTTCGGAGTATAAAAGGCTTGTTCGCGGTACTGGTTCAGTTTTGCTTCTCTTTGCTGCCGACCACTCCCAGCGGGGAGCTCACGCCATTTTTTTATTCTCTATCACTAGTTTCGCTCTTAGGGTCACGAGATCGACCGGACGTCACCGCAATCGAGTGGGATTCAGCGCCGATTTTCTCAGATTACCTTCCCCCATAGACAGCGATTTCAGAACCCCGTCGTCGCATTCCTGCCTATTCCCTTTTTTGTGTTGTGTATACTTTCGTAGACTTCTGGTAATTGCGTTTTCTTCTGTCCATTTTGCTCTTATTTCGTGTTGTTGTAATAAACTGTCACCTTTTCGTATTCGAGTACACCTTACGAGTGGTTACTAACCGTCATATCTTATCACACTATACATAACTTGGGGGCCAAGCCGGTGATACTGGTCAGAAAGAAGGATGGATCGTTGCGGCTATGCATCCACTATCGTGAACTGAACAAGAATACGAAACAGGATGTCAAAGTCGATGAAATCGTCAGGAACTCCGGCAAAGCAAGGACATGGCCAAGGATCGTCAGGAAAGCCGGCGATGGATGGCCGAATCGCGAAAAGGCACCGGAAACGGAAGGAGAAGCGGCACCAAAGAAACCTGGAGCGCGCGGCTGAACACGCGTTCAGCAAAATGGAGCTCGGACGAGCTGGGGACAGCTCGCTATAGGAGGAGGGGGCATGTTGAGGAAGGAGCGCGCATGTATGACTGGCGAGTGCTCAATCTGTCGATTGCGGTGGCGATCAATACGCCGACGCAAGAAGGGCGCCGAAGACATTTTGGCGGGCTTTCGGAGTATAAAAGGCTTGTTCGCGGTACTGGTTCAGTTTTGCTTCTCTTTGCTGCCGAACCATTCCCAGCGGGGAGCTCACGCTATTTTTTTATTCTCTATCACGCATTATTCTCTATCTCAGTTTCGCTCTTAGGGTCACGAGATCGACCGGACGTCACCGCCGATTTTCTCAGGTTACCTTCCCCCATAGACAGCGATTTCAGAACCCCGTCGTCGCACTCCTGCCTATTCCCTTTTTTTGTGTTGTGTATACTTTCGTAGACTTCTGGTAATTGCGTTTTCTTCTGTCCATTTTGCTCTTATTTCGTGTTGTTGTAATAAACTGTCACCTTTTCCTATTCGAGTACACCTTACGAGTGGTTACTAACCGTCATATCTTATCACACTATACATAACTCTACCCTGTCTCCGATTGTCCCAATTCCACCATTGACTTATTCTCCAATTTCGCAGGAACGACTCATGCTAAGATAGACCACGTGCTAGCTAATCGGATATTATGCTTACTGGACGTCGCTGTAGTACAATCCTTCTGCAGATAACACGGCCGCTCTGCCGCGGTCAGATTGTGCTCGCTGCACCTCACCATTAGAGGCAACGAAAGCTCCTGTCCAAGCAAGAAGAAGCCTAAGGCTAAACCCTGACGCCACCCACCTTGAGAAGATTCATGCAAAGTTAGGTTCTAGACAACAGCGTGCCCTTCAGCGGTACAGGGACAGGAAAGAACCAGAGGCGGTAGCGACAAGATCTAGTCTAAAAAAAGGAAGGCAGAATCGATTGAACTCTTAGCTATTCCCGCATGGAAATGGAGAAAAAGCAGAAAGGTTTACACCGATCTCTACAACTAGCTCACCGCACACGCACAGGACCCAGTGATCACTGCGGAAGGTGAGAACCTCGAATTCTGCCCTCGGAGGCGCAGGCAACGAATTTAATACGCTTCTCACAAACCATATGATATCCCACCTTCAAACGGAGAGAATTCCGGACCAGTGGACGAACTCGTGTATGACTACTCTGCATAAAAAAGGTGACCGCGGTGATCTTTGCAACTACCGCGCTCAACCTCCGGAGTAGGATGGATTTTCAACTTCTCGGATCCCATCCAACCAGTCGCTATGGTCATAGAAGAGCACCGAGGTCGGAATGGCCCTCGTCCTACCGCTCACTGACTACGAGAGAGCCCTTGACAGCGTCGAAACTACTACGATCCTTTCAGAGAAGATCGACCAACTGGTGCAATTGTTATCTTAGGACTGTTGCCGATTGTAGTCATCGCTGCACTTCAACGGTACGATTGTTTCAGAGACTTCTCACTACCGCGGAGAAGGGCGTATTGTAGTGGTTCATAAAGTCGCTAGACTGAGACAAGAGGGAATGTGGGGGGCTGGAGCATTCGCAAGGATGGTCGATACCTCTCAGACCTCCGTATCGCGGACGACATTGTCCTGTTGTTAAGTAGTGTCACAGAAGCAGAGGTGATGATTGCAGAGTTGAGTAAAACAGGCAAGAAGGCGGCGTTGCGGATCAACCGGAGGAAGAGAGATTCACGATGAACGCCTGGGCCCATGAAGGCCAAATTGAAATTGCGGGCATACCTATCAACGAAATATCTCAATATTATCTAGGGCATTCTATGAACAGATAAAACGAGATGAAGGAAGAAATAGGAAGGCGACAGAGAGCAAAAAAGGCCGCAGTCAGACCTCTTGAAGTTATTGATCGTCTGATTGACCGAAACTTCGTAACAATCTACCCGATTCCACAGTTCTGCCTGCGCTTTGCTATGAGGAGCGCAGGGAAAGCAAGGCTGCGATGGAGCGGTCTTGTTATGAGAAGGCATGCAAAGAGGTGGACAAAGAGAGCGGTAGAATGAGGCACTTGTAGTACTTTCACGGCTTAGGATGAGACCTGCTGCACAATGGAGGGAAGCCTTTGCCAATCACGTAAATTCGCTACGCATACGGGTGAGCAAAGTCCAAGATCGTCTTTAGACTTTTGAGACGGTCAGACTTTTGAGTCGATCGTGGATGATGATCGCGGGAGAGAGCAACGAAATGTTTCGTGCTGGTGTTCGCGGGTAGGTGAAGACTAGATGAAAGATAAAATATAAGTTAACGCGGCCTTAACATTACTACTTTGCATTGAACGTCGACTAAAGAAAATGTCCAACCGACTAAGGAAAACAGACTTCGCGGATAGAATAGAGACGATTTTTGGAGGCAATTTAGGTGTACTCAATATCACCACAATTGTCGGGTCGCAATCAACGGTTCTCACATGCGGCGTTTCCATCATTGGTTGTTTCCTTCCTGAATCGATTTCTACCCGATCGCCATTGGTAGAGCAAGGGAGCCGAACGCGGACTCGAACCGCGCTGCTCACGCCACCTCCGACAGTCCGCAATGATGAGGACTGTAGCTTAGCTGGATTTCTCATGGGTAGACATCTACTAATATGAATTTTTTAGAGAAACCCAAAAACGTCGATGTTCTTCTCAATACCAAATTTATACAAGGACGCTTGGTAATCACGAATAATAAAGGACTTGGTTCCTTCCATTACTTGAGGAACGTTGAAGAGATAGGAACACCAGATGTAGGGGGTAAGCTATACGAAGCACTTTATCCTGAATTGTCTATCCAAATCCAGTGAGATTTTCCTTTCATAAACTTATTCGTTTAGACACTGCACTGAGTGTCCTCAACAACACAGGACCTAGAAGAGCTCGATATGCCGAATTTGAATAGGGTTGTGCAGAATGAAAACGACGAAATACGAGTACGAATCCGCCATAATAAAATACTCCTACTGACCGAAGAAGAAGTGTCTTCTCTCAAAAAAGCAGCCGGTGGAGAAGAGCACACGGATCTTAATGAGCATCATTTACGTAAGTACACCACTAATGGCATACCTTTCTGAGGAGCAATAGGGCCACAAGGCTGACTTGTAAGATTGGTCTCCCCTCCATCCCGATTAAGTTCACAAACTGGCGCTGTTCGGCTTAAGAAGAATTGGTGTGAATGAGCCACTTCGGACACAGGGATTTACAAGTTTTGATAAGGAGGCCTGTTGAAGCGACGCTGATTATAATTCATTGCTCCCTACAAAGCGAACTTTGCTCACAAGCCAAGTCATCTTCTAAATTCCACATCTAAACACATCTTAAAAGAAAGGTATGCCCCAAAGAAAAATTGCGGACGTCGAAACCATCCCTTGAACCTTCTCAGCCCTCCCCTCCTCCGCTCCTCCCCATACCCATATTCGAGGCAGTTTCTCAGGGACATAAAACATTGCTCATCGATGCGTAGAGCGAAGGTGTCCCTAAGTACCCATCAAAATGCCCCCATCACACTACATCCGACTGATAGCGATGTTACAAGCTGAACATAATTTTCCGTGCAGCGCCAACCTGTTTCCACCAGTGTCTGCTCTCCCCATAACTGCGACTGTGGCGATGGGCGCCGCGCCAGAACGCTCTATAGAGTACAATTCGCTCTATAGAGTCCATTCGCCAATCCGACACACAAAACTGGTGCTTTAAAGACAGCACTCGCTATCAGCCAAGTTACCGAAACCCTTTACTGTACAAGATGGAGCCCGTAGATATATGAAAAAGCCCGCTTCCGAGCTGATGAAAGCACGACAACGATAAGCTAACTCCGCCTTCGCAAACTAGTTTCACCTCTATCTTCTTTTTTTCGTCATCGAAGTTCGTTAGCGGTGAAGGTGAAATGAATCACAGGTGAAACTAAGTAAATCTCAACACATATGCCTCAGAGAATGAGACGAAATGAGACTGTAGCCACATATAAAGATTCGCTAACTCGTCCATCACCAATCCCGTACATGAGGTCTGATTTGGGGTGTCTTCGCCGGTTTCTTTTGCTTTTTTCTTCATTAGCATCCCACCTACCACATGATTTGATGGTTCTGAGCCTCGCAAAATTCAAAAAGCCGTCGCGGGCACGGTCTTCTGGTAGGAATCTCAAGACAACTATACGATACACAAGGCAACGAGCCATTGCCATCATGTGGAACCACGCGGGCTTCTCCACACAAAAACGCACTACTATATGAGCTCTAAGCACTATATGAGCACAGGAAACAGAGAGACTGAAAGCAGTAAGGAGAAGCAGATATGGCGTAAAAATGATTCAGACCTATCCGCTATATAGCGATGGTGAAAAGAAATGATGAAGGTGGTTTCAGCTCAAAAGTGTGGGCAGGTACATCGTATATAAACCGTGGCGCTATTGGTGAGCACTTCAGAATCACAAAAGCGGGACATACCCTGCGACTACCTCCGCACCAACACCTTACGCATTGAAGGGCTTCTCTGTCGCGAGCACTGTCCTCAAGGTACGCCCGGCAGCCAGCAAAGGAGTCATTCACCTTCATAATTGAGTAATACGGTTTCGCAGTGATCAATGAAGTTCCTTTTCGTCACATGAAAAAGCACAGGAAGTGAGCTGCGAGCTTATCACCTGGGCCCTAAGGACTGTTCCGGTGTAGCTTTCTGGTGTAACATCAGCTCCCATGTCTTGCAAGTGATCTCCACCATTCTACGCTTGTCCAGTGATCATGACCATCTACAGTAAGGAGAGTTTCATTGGGGGAGGTTTATTCTGTCTTTATCTTCACTAGTATGTCAAATAGCACACGAACGCTTTCGTTTTAAACCTCTTGACGTGTGACTTGCATTGTGCATTCAATGATATGCACCGTATTAAGGTAGAAATAGGAAGAAGAAGACTGAACTAACGATACTAGAAGCTTTGTTCATAATTTTCGTTATATTGCTACTGGTTCTGGTTCTTTTGTTGTTGATGCTTATAAAGAACAGAATGCGCCCTTCATCTGGTCTACCGCGGCCACCATTTCGAATCTCAAAAAAGTCCCAGGCTATACTACTGGATATGTCCAAGGTATGTCATATTTTTCACGCGCATTCCATATAAGCTTTTTCATATTTTAGCGAACAAAGATGCTCCGAGGCAGCGCTCAGATACCGGGGATGACGTCGACGCGCTACCATTAAAACGATGCTCCGGTGCTCTGGACGTGCACGTAGCCATAGACGAGTATAGGCTGGAGCGGGGTGCTAGTGTTTGAAAGGGTACGTGATAACAGGATATTAGCCGTTGTCTAATCATCCAGTGTACCTTCGTAACCTTCTTTAGTTCACTAAGGCAATAGCGTCGATCGATACCAGGCTGATACAGACGGTGACAGGCAACGCCTACCGCCCTGTTATCTCACACTCTCTTGAAACGCAAGCGGCCAACGCCGATAGATACTCGTCCGTGACCAGCTACCGTCTATCGTTGCCTAACGGGTATCGTCTGGAACAGGAGCTCCATTGCAGGGTGCGCGTCATTTCGAAGTCTGAACCCTGTCAAAGATATGTTCAGACCTTACAAGGAAGTCTTTCAGGTCGTGGCGCGCTTTTTGGAAATGGTTTGTTGCTTGTTGTAGGGGTCCATACAAGGATCACAAAATGGGTTTCATTTTTGCTATGCGTTTCTGGGAGGACAAGAAGAGTGGAAGACAAGACAAGAATGGGCGATTTTAACTATCTTAATGGGCTCCGTTCTGATTGTAACTTCGAGCATGCATAGTTTATGAGGTGCTCGTTAATTAGGCTTCAAAAATAGTTTGAATAAAGTCAAATGTAAGTATCATGTAGTAACACACTTGGCATGCACCGACGCAACAGTGATGTTTTGTAAGCAGTCTCCTCATGCCCAATTTCGGTAGGATGAGGATGGCGCAGCGGATATCTCAATGGATTTTGGATGGGATGACTATACGGAACTTTGTGGCTCGGATCCTCCTTGCGGCAAATTTTTCCATTTTTTCAGCTTTCTATTCATTCGCGTTCCTGTGTGTCTAGCAGTGGAAATAAGCCAAGTATACGCCATTTGAAGGCATATTCTTCATTCTGATATCTTACAAACCAGCTCGGTTGTATGGAGAGGCCACTCATTGATAGACAGATCTAACAACTGTGCTAAAGTTCAAGAAAACATGTGAAGCATATGCATCTATTGCACCAACTACACCTAACAAACGCCAGGGAAGAACAGTTACTGTCTTCTTGATAAGGGACGACAACATCTCCTTCGTTGAATCCGAAGTCGGTCGGAGTTGAAATGGTTGAGGATGCGCTTTGACATACTCTTAACGTAACGAGATACATACCCGGAAACAGGCATCTACAACCGAGCTGTTGTAAGGTATCAGAATGAAGAATGTGCCTTCAAATGGCATATATTTGGCTTATTTGCACTGCTAGACACACAGGAACGCGAATGAGTAGAACGCTAAAAATGCAAAAAATGTGCCGCAAGGAGAATCCGATCCTAAAGTACTCGTATCGTCGTTTCAACAAATCCATTGATGTTCTCAGCTGCCGCCATTCCAAATCCCGGCAGACAGTATTGCTGAGGAGCGCTTCACAAGTCACTGTATGCACGCCCAGAGGTGCATGCACACTGTGTTACTACATGACGCTTACGATTTGCTTTATTCGAGGCTATTTGGAAGGCCTATTTATAGGGCACCTCACGTGAACTATGCATGCATCGAAGTTAAATCCAGAATGGAGACCCGTGTGATGACAGGTTAAAATTGACATTCTTATCAAAATCTTGTTCCACTCAAGTTTTTGACGTCCTCCAGAACGCTATGCAAAAAATGAAAACCATCTTTTGTGATTCCTTCTATTGGATCCCTAAACAAGCTAAGCAAACCATTCTGAGAAACGCGATGCCGACCGACGTAAGACCCTGACCCCTTGTTAGATCCTTTTATTCAGACTGTTATGACTTTCAAATGCTTAGGATTGCTTGAGAGATCGATGGTCTCGGGTACTATTTAGGGATGGCGTTTGATAATGGGCCGTTACGTTCGAACCAAGATCCATAGCACGCGCTGGGCTATGCTTGATTACATCCCCGGGGTGGTCTCCGGGGTACAGCCTGACCCGCAGTTTTCTATCCTACGATTTTATATTCGATTTATAATTGCAGACACCCCCTACGCCAATCGCCGACATCTGTAGAACTGAAATGAATACCATCCACTGCATGTCCTCAACCCTGGCGTGGTCGCTAGCACCTTACATAAATATTAACTGTACACTCATCTCCGTGGATCCGATCCTTGCCTAGTCCGCTGGTTTGGCGGCGGGTGTGAGTCTGAAACGGCCCAGCCTCCAAACTGAATTCTTGTATGCACTTGGAATGAACGCTGCAGCAGCTGTGGACCCACTCACCTCGTACAGCTTGTGCGAGTTGATACGCAGGGACCATTCTTGGAGATCCATGTGGAATTTGTCTTGCAAGGGTATACTCAGTCCGAGGACGGTCGTTTCCACGTGCGAAGTGAAGGTTCGCAACTGTAGTGGCATGCTATGTTGTCGGTTTGAAGGTGCACGGGAACGGAGCTGGACGGTAGTGATATCTGAAGTGCTGTCTTCATACTCTGCTTGCGCTATCGCCAATGTCTTTGGTCGTTGCGGCAGAGGAATACGCATCAGAAGAGAATAATCAGACGTGAGAGGGTGCAGACTGGCTACGGTTAGGGAATAAGGCTGACCTTGCGCAGAACGGCCTCGGGTATTCATTTATTCCTTACTTATTTATTTATCTACACTGTAATAGTCTGCCCTAGATACAGTAAAACGAACCTGCCGGAATGCTCATTAACCAATTAATGCCACTGTGATGCAAGTGGGGATAGTAGGGAGCTGAACTTTGACTGATTAAGGAAAAACACCGAGTAGTTGAGAAGTCGGACTCGTGTTAGACTGTAGAAAGGACATGCAAGCAGAGCCAAAGCAAACAGAAAAACGTGCTATCTACACCGATTGCCTAAGGTGTCTCGTTCCAAAGGAAGTCATTGGAAACGTGTGAGCACTTCGGAACACGGGTACACCAACTTCCCAAGGGGAATTGACATGCTGGATAGAGGCAAGAAGATGACAACATCACACGCATTACTACACTTCATTTGCGCACCCATTCACCTTACATAAGGAAAGAACCGTCCTCGAAGGTGGGTGTAGTGAGGGATCCTTAAATCTCGACGTGGTCGCCAAAATTCGTCTTGGTCTCCGCCTTTACCTTATGAGCAGTCCTCTGACCCAAGATAAATCTCTGCGCTAACATCTGCAGATATGTTCTCTTACGAATAGCTGCACCTATTATGTTAAATGTAGCGAAATCATCCAATTGACTTCGCCTGAATAAACACTAAGGTAAGATTGTGAATCCAATGGAGAGCAGATCATATTCTTGCTGAAACGAAAGAGGTACTCTCAGTCTCTTTAGTGTTGATTTAGGCGAGGAACTCGCGGATTTGAAGAAGAAGCACTCCGATTTCCTCCAAAATCACAAAGCAAATATACTAGCGGTAAGTGAATACCAAGCTCTGGAAGTATAAGAAAATTTTATGTGAGCCCCATTACCCACGTCTTTTTAATTGTGAGTTATGCCTATAAAGCAACATCAAGTTCGATATTTTCAGAATGCAAATCTCTCATATAAAGACAAAAAACCTATAATATCTCGTATTGAGAGCCTTCTGCCTTATCCAACAGTGGTGATAATCTCCACAACCGACGACATCGACAAGGTTCTGCCATGCATGCCCAACGAACTCGGCAAATCCCACAGTTATGAGAGTGAGTTGCGAATTCGGTCAATTTGAAAAATGGGAGGTGCTTTCCGAAGAGGGGGTCTCTAGATTACGGTATTGTTTTTGGTTATACAAGAAGTCACATCCGAAGGAACTTATGGCTGTTCGAACCCTGAAAACTCGTAGGTGACACTAAGGTCAGCAACGATTCCACAACGGGAATATCCCGATAGAAATGAAATATTGAAAAATGGCTCAGGGCGCATTCAATCAATACCTGACCTGAGGCATCACAACCGCTCTTTTCGTCCGTCGTCCAAGACTATGAATGAGATGTTGCCGGAGTCCAAAGCAACGTTGAGACTTCGTATCGCGCCTTACACCGCGCAACATTGCAATCAGGCTCCAGTGTCATAGAAGGGAACGCAGCTACAAATTGCAACTTCCACTCATAATGGGTGGTTCATGATAGGTGGTCCCACTCTCCTCTCCTCCCCGTTATAACAAAAAGCTCAGACTCCCATTCGCAAAAGTGATTTTTTTGCGTCTCTCGATGGGGCGTAGCTCCAGTCCATACTATTCCTTGTTGCGCTCTTTGTTTTTTGCGCCAGACCCTCCCGAAAGTAACTCTATGACTTTACGCAACCACAGGGGCCGCATCCCGAATGTTTGTGCATTGGCAGCAGTGCACGCACGCGGACAGGCAAAACATTCAAACGCGAGTCGCGGCAAACGCGGCAAGCCATTCGCGCTACACCAGTATGATCCTCCCTATAAGAGAACGCAAATTCAGCTTTGAAACTGAATAAATGGCCTAAGTGGGTCGCTGATTAATTCCGGTTCCCAGCCTCAACGATCACATTTCGATTGCGCCGTTTTATCTTGCACTGGAAGCAGAACGCTGAAATATCGCTATGAAGTTGTCGTAAAAGACGATAGCAAGAAAGAGAAAGAAAAAGATGCAAAGAAACGTTGGCGTGTCGTTCTGTACGTGTGGTCAGTACTAGTTACTTTCCTCTGTCAACCAGTGACTTGTTGAAGTATCTCGGTATAATTCAAGCCAAAAACGCCTTGAGAAAGTTGACAAATTCTAACACGAAACGGCGGTCGACACTTTCTTTACAGGGATCACCCCCGCTGCGAGAAATTGCTGCGAACTCTCTGCGAAGTAATTAAAATTATTCACGGATAAAAAAAGCTGGTATAGTTTACGGGAAGATTATGGTATCATGACGGTAGAGGCGGAGGTGGGCATGGTGGCACGTTTCTACGCTGCGATTCATGCCTCTCATTTTGGAGATCAGCCGAGGACATTTTGTCCACTACCGACGATTTCCTGTGCTTTTTCGTCGATTGTGCGAGTCAACTGCGCATCCACTCTGTTTTTTCCACGACCCGCGCACCCATTTTTCACGGCTCAGCGCAAAATCTGTCTTTCGAAGGCTCAGCACTACAACTAGTCGACGTCCTGATAAGGCTGCGTTCATACTTTGCGGCAGCGTACATCAGCGACCACCAGCGTCCACCAGTGACCATCAGCGTTTCGAGCGTCCGTCAGCGTCAGCGACTAGGGACGTATGATACCCCGACGTAGCCGGAATGGGCAGCGCCTCAAAAAGCTAACGGGAGCGTCTTCCAGCGGCACGCATGTTCCGCCAGCGACCATAAGCGTCTCGAGGGATTGGGAGAGGGTGGATACTATCTTGCGTTTACCAGAGTCTACCAGCGAAACGGAGAGTTTGGGAAGTAGGAGGGTAACAGACTGTTCATAAAGTATGTTGAAGTAGGAGGGAGGAGACAGCTGGATTAAGCATCATGAAATTGTGTAGTGTGCTACCGCACCGTACTTACTACATGATACCGTACTCCTGGTCACTGGGGGACGCTGATGGACGCTGGTGAGCGCTGCCCCAAAGTATGAATGCAGTATGAATGCAGCCAATGCAGATCGCTCGAATGCCACCAATCGTACTTCACCGCCAACTGTTAGACCGCTGTGAAGAAGTTCCACCCTGAATGTTATTGCATTGGCCCTGGCAACGGTCCAAGGATTAGCGGCGTAGCGCGGTCGGTCTCATTCGCGCGAGTGAACTGCTCGAGTCGCAGACTGCTATATACAAGTCAAATAATGAAAAAAATGAAACAAAATTACATAATTGTTGAGTGATGTCCTTATTGAATGACTCTGATATCAGCTGATTGAGGTAGAGATAGACAGTAGTTTATGAAGTTCACGTATAGACGAGTCTCATTGACACCTCTGACTGTGGCAGGCACATCCATCAGTAGTTTATTCCCTGCAATTGAAGGTATTCGTAAGTGATCGGAGAAAAGAAATATTTTCCTTATTGCATTTAATCTACACTTATGTGATTGTCCTACAACAAGCGATAGGTGTAGAAGAAGCTTTCCGTTTACATACAGGTACGAAATCGAGTTCGTTTTTCTTTTTTTCTCGAATTCGTCCAGGAGTCAAGAGTACTTAACTGAACATTCTGATTCTAACTCAGTTCTCTGGGGGAACGGAGAAACCGCAAATAGGTCAAAAAAAATTGTACGAATTAGTAGGAATCTAAATCT